CTTAAAATAAAACCCGACAAATAACTTCGCCTTGATAAATTACATTAGGAAAGAATTTCCAGCAGGATCACTTTAAATGGTTTTCTTTCATGCTTAGGATTAGATTTCACCTAAAGATTTAATTTAGTTCAACCAGTAGAAAACCCCAGATTCAGGGCCTAAGAGTAAACTGAGGTTTGGAGAGGTTTAGTGACTTGGCCATGCATTATTAGTCAGGATATTTTTTGGTGTAGGTTATAGACATTCGACTCCAAAGTGGCTTAAACAAAAAACGGAATTCACTGGGTCACGCAACAGAAACTAGCTTCCAACATAGCTGAATCCAGCAGCTCCAATCATGTTCTTAAAACTCAGCATTTGCCAACGTTTTTCCCACAGTATTGGCTTCCTCCGGGATGGAGGAGAGGGAGGGAGATGGTCATAAGTAGCTCCAGCTTACATCATTTCTATGGTTTATTATCCAAAAGGAAGAGAGGCAACTCTCTCCCAGCTTTCACAGAGCAAATTTTGTGGAAGGTCAAAGTGGTCCCCTTGGATCCAAGAGAGATAACCCATCACTCTTGGTTAACAGCCCCACCAGGATCACATGAAGTGAGGAGTGTGGTCCTCAAAGGGAAAGTGGGGATGTGTGGGAAGCAGATATCCACCACACCAAAGCTAGGGCATTATTAAGGTGGGGCTAGGACTCAGTCCTAGTGCCATTCTGAAGGTTGCAGTGAGAAAGAGAAATAGGTAAGCTTAGAGCAAAATAGTTTAAGCCTCTCTTAAAGGTGTATAAATTAGAAATGAAGATAAAGCTTTGAAGTGATGTTAAGTCAAATGACCTTTTTTTTTCTTTTACTTTCAAAAGTGTATGGATATTGTAAAATGCAAATCCCTGTTATTGCTAATGAACGCTCCTACACGCACTTGATCATTTAGTGTGGAAGTGGATTGAAAGGCATGCCTCTCATTTCCTTGCTCCTTGTTTTCTTCCTGTCACAGAGGGGTATTCCGGAATATGATTTTGAGGGAAAAAAAAAAAGACAAAACTTAAAGAAAAATTTCTAAGTGGATAAAAAGTATTAAAATGTGAAGAAAGTAGATGATTATGGTAATAACTAGTATTTACTTAGCAGTTAACATGTGCCAGGCACTATAGTAAGTGCATAACCTCATTTAAATCTGATGACAATCCTATGAGTTAGGAAGTGTTATTCTGCTCATTTAGAGGCCAGGAATCCCAGGCTGTGAGGAGTGAAAAATTTGCCCCAGCTCCTGGCTCTCAGAGCTGGGATTCCACCTTGGGTATATCTAATTCCAGAGTCTGTGTTCTCATCATTATGCTTATAATTAGTTATAACTTTAATTCATTTAATTGTATGTTGACTATTTTACCAGCAAAATCATTGCTTGTGGTGCACTATTTTGTGTTTTATCCTATGTGAAATAAAGTGCACTTGAAGCTGGCTTTCTCCTTCCCCCCACTTTTTTTTTTTTTGGTCCATTTTCCTTCCCCATCAGTGACATAGGGTCCCTGTTCCTGCCTTGATCCACTAGTGACCGAGGATTTCTCACTGCTAGGAATGGAACTGGAGCACCTAAACATTTTAAATCTCAAGCTATAATTATACACATTAATCACATGGAAAGCCATGCATGACCTATGACTTTTGAGGCACAGCTGAAAATGCAACTGTACTCTTTAAATTGTGACCCAAGAACATGTCGCTGCTGAGGGTGTTACCTGTGTAGATAAATGTGGCTCGAAGAAATATAACACCAAAGTCCCTTGTCTACACTAGCTGTGTATGTAATCTTTCATTGTTTTTCCTAAGAGAGCAGCTCTTGTCTCAGGCTTTTTAATTATTCTTCCCTCTCAGCTCACAACCAGTTTAATGTACCCTCCACCCGCACTCACAAATTGGGCTAGTCTACCTCTGATGATGTCGTCTTATCAGCATAGGTCTTTTCCTCCTATACTGGTTGATGATTGTTTTGATGATACTGCTGCTTATTATCTTATCCCTTCTTTAGTTCACCAGTCAGCTACCATTTGATAGTCTACTACGTCTTCCAGTCTCATCACATGGCCAGTCTGCCAGTAGGTTCATGATAAGCTCAGCCTTGATGTCTGGGAAGTGAATGCTTTCATCTGATAGCAATGGACAGTGTTTTGTCACTTGATAATGGCTTCCCAGATGGCTATAATGTATTTCTTTTTGTATTATCTAGAGTAGCAGTCTCCAAAGTTTTTTGATCATTCATTCCGATCAGTGTAGTTTTTGGGAGCAATTCTTAACCAAATATATGTATATTTATTTGTAAAGTATATATCATCATTAGCTTATAACTCAACTATAATATATGCTCAGGATGAAGTTCATTGTTAATGACAGTGGATATAAATCCACATTCAAATAATCTTGATGAATTTGATATTTTTTAAGCCAAAATTTGGTTGGATTTATTGGATCGTTAATTTTGAAATGTGTTGTCAAAAAACCTGATACTGGGAGAAGTGTCAGTTCCACCATTTGCTTGTTTTCCTGTGGTTTCTTTGCAAAGGACTCTGGTAAACTAACTTGCCTATTTTCTATGGGTTAGTTTAATTAAACCTAGATACTATAATCAGTAAGTCCACTTAACCTAGCAAACCACAATGTCATTACATGTTGACAAGGACTGACTGGGTGGGACCACCACTGCCAACCCCTGGAAATGGGTAACTCCCACTTTTCCTTGAGGACATCTCCTACGATGTTATGGGCCAAGAGACCATTCCATGGGCTGGGTCCCTCATTATGTATATAAAATATTAGTTTTCTTTTTTGATTAGAACTAAGCATAAATAGATGTCCTCATATTTTCTTCTCCTGCATCCCAAATGGACTGACTTGCATTCTTCCTGGAATATACATACCCCTGGGATGCATTGCATGGACCTCCTTTAGAAACTATTGGTCCAAGGAAAAAATCTCTCACATAGGCAAGGATGTTTCCATTTAAAAAGACCTACTCATTTCAGTTAGCCATTTTACAGAAAGTGAAAGAGTTTTGAAATGAATCATCTTTACAGATTCATAATTTGCAAGCAAAATCCCCACTCTACAAAATGTGAAATGTTCTAAGCAACAGCTGTGAGCATTTCAAACGTGCACTACTCTTGGACAATTCAATTGTTGCCAAGGGAAATTGAGTTGGCTTTAAAATCTTCCTTGGTATGAATTCTGCATTTACCCTTAATCAGAAATTGAGCAAACAAGTTCTGCATGGCTGGGGCACTGAACTTTTCATGAAGACTGGTATGGGAAACTGAGATGTGGAAATGTAAGTTTCTTGAAGGTGGGAAGGAGACTGGTATTCTAGCCAGTTTTGTAAGCCCTAGGGGAGGTGAACTTTTCAGAGCAAACACAGACACTATCTATACAGTGACCAATCACCTGGAGTCAGTAAAGGAAGCCTACTTCCATATAAGAGCACCATCTTTTCCTGTTTCCCATTTCAGTTCAAAACAGGAATTAAAAAAAATTTTAACGGCACAATAAAAGACCCATTCAAGACCCATTTCTGGGGATGTGCATAGAAATTTGCAACACTTGAGTGCTAAATAACACAAACGAGAGAAATGACAATGCATTTTTTTGTTATTGTCAGTTGTATATATGTTCCAGTTTTATTTATATATAGTTCTATTTCCTAACTGTATAGAAAACATGATATAATGCGAAGGGGAAAAACTACAGAACGGAATACACAATTTTAAAGAACAAAAATACTGGACAGAAGTACACCAAAATGCTAACAGTAGTTATCTCTGGGTTGAAGGATTATAAACGTTATTTTTTGTACTAAGCATTAAGAATTTCTTTCTTCTTTCCTTCCTTTTTTTTTTTTTTTTTTTTTACCCTCTCAAAAGACATACGTAGAATCCACTCAAATAGAGCAAGAGTTCAAGAATATTCTCTGGAAATGCACCACTTGGCCTAGGACTCACTAAGGATGCAAACATATCTCTAAATATTTTATCACTTGTTCTAGCTAGAGTTAAGTGAAGCCTTCTCCATAAACTCTTTCGGATCCAACTTGCCAGTGAAGAGCTCCCAAGCTCCCGCAGTTTGAAGCTGGGTTTCCCTGCGCTCTGTACAGCGGGTGGGTCCAAGAGGTTATCTCAATAAATGATCACAGAGCGTAGAGACCGCGTTCCCACCTGCACAAGTTACACTGAACTGGCCCCAACCAGGCTTGCAGGAGCTCCAGGGAGCTGATATTCAAAACAGAGGTTGAGGGAAAAGGAGACTAGGCGAGAGAGAATTCGAAGCGATACCCAACCCTTGGCCGGGCCCCAGGGGTTCAGATTTCCGTGCCAGGCCTCCCACAAGGTGGAGCGGAGAGCGACTGCTGGGGGCTTTACAGCCCCGGGCTGCGAGGGGCCCATCTACAAAGGCAGCGGCGCACAGGCTGCCTTTCTTTCTTTCTATGCGGCGCTGGTTCCCGTCCGAATGGGATTCCTCGAGTCCAGAAGGGCCAGCCTCGCCGCTGAAAGGGGCGAAATCAAGGGCCAGGGACGCCCCCACCCTTAGCCGACCCTTGCCCTTGGAATCCTCAGGTTGCAGACGACCGCCGCCGAGAGGATCCGCACAGCGCGGAAACCCATCGCACTGATGTCACGCGCACCCCTCCGGGTTTAAGGTGCTCCTCTCAGGCCTGGCGGCGGCGGTGAATGCCCGCTTCAGCCTACCCGACCGCCTGGCGGAAGCGGCGGCAGCGCGGCCGGAGATCGCGGTTGCATCCGGGTCCCTCTCGCCTCAGCCCAATCCTCGGCCTCCTCTCTTCCCACCCTCCTGTTTCTCCGCCCCTCCGCCGCCAATCCCCGATCGGATCTCAGCCGAACATGCTGACAAGGGAGTGAAGGCGGACGCCGGCCAATGGGGCCTCGCTTCCCGTTTGAAGCCTCCAGTGAGTGGGCGCTGGAGGCGGGCGCTGCTGGCCAGAAGGTTCGGTTGCGAGTGTGCCATGGACTCAGCTGCCCGGTGATATTGACAATAGGAGAGAGAAAGGGGCATTGACGGGGACCCACCGCGGGCACCGAACGGCGGCTCTGGCAGCGGCGGCTCCAGCCCCAGCGGCTCCTTCTTCTTCCTTCTCCTCCTGCTGCCGCTGCAGATCCAGTCTTCCTCCCTCCCTTCCCCCCTCCCCTCGTCGTTGCTGCAGCCGCCGGGTCCGGGGCAACGAGCAGAGGCGCCGCCCGCCGGGAATGTGAGCGAGGAGCCACCGGCGGAGCCGCAGCGGGGTCGGTGCCGATTTGATGGGACGGGCCCGCGGGGGAGGAACGTGAGGCCGCCGCCGCCGCCGGAGCTCTGAGGTTCAGGTCCGGCCGTGAGGCCTAGAGGCGCCGCTGCCGCGGAACCGGAGGGACGCCGCGCCGGACAGCCGTCGCCCCGGGCTCCCTGCCGCTGTCCGGACCTCCCCCCGCACGCCCCGGTCCCGCCACCCGCCCCCGCTGCGGCCCTCTCTCCCGTCTCCCGCCCCTCCGAAACCACAGATCATCTTCGGATTCTTCTCCAGAAGCTTCAAGGTAACTTCGTCCCTCCAGCACCGCGGCTCGTCTGCTTCCTTTCCTCCTTTCCTGCCTCCTACCCGACCTCCTGGGGAACCTGCGGGGCACCGGCCTGGGGAAGGCCTGGCCTGGGCCGGCGAGGGGTGCGATGGGGTGAGGTGCGGGAGAGGGAGCGCCGGTCCCACTTGTCTGATTTACCTGCAAATGCTTCTGATGATGCCTTTCATTCACTCTGCCCTCCACCCCCCTTTTTCTCCACCTTCCGGCATTGGAGGCGTATTCTTGTCCCCCTTTATCCACTGACGGGGGCGGGGGGGAGGAAAGGGGAATTGGTGTAGTGAGAAGGATTCTGTAGCAGCTTATCTTCTCCAGGGCTTGGGGTGGCACGGGGTGGGGTGGGGTGGGTGGGAGCAAACGGAGTATGTGAGCATCCCTACAGACCAACCTTTTCTCTTTCTCCTCCACCCCAGTACCCCCTTTGGGTTATCCTGTGCCTTGGAAATGCCCCGTGCCCAATGCTTAGAGGATGATAAAGCTTCGGGCGTCCTAGCCCAGGGCGAAACCTGTTTCCCCGGGCTTTGTACGGACCCGCTGCTACTGCACGTTCAATTCTGCAGCGCTTTAGGGTTGAGATCCTTGACGTTTATCCTGGGCCGCGGGCAAAAGGGGCAAATGATTAAAAAAAATTTTTTTTTGCTACCAGTAAATCATCTTTAGAGATGGGAGATAAAGAATAAAGGAGAGACAGAAAGAGTGGAGGAGGAACAGGATTTATGGAAATCTTGTGTTGTGAGGGTTAAATGTAGTCTAAATAATTCACATACCAGATTGGAAAAGCAGCCCCTAAATTTACAACATACAAATGTGATGTGGAGCTTCTTGCAGATGCAGTCATTATGAATTTTTAAGTCATCTTACTTCTTCTGTAATCATTCATGGTTTGCAGTTCCTTTTTATCTATCACATTTTATTTAAGGCTAAATTAGATTGGTAAAAACTTTTTTAAAAAAGAGTACCAAATAGGACTTCAAAATTCCAAACCTCAACATCATATGGTTTTGTTTGTGTTTTGTTTATGTTTTTGTTATTTTTACTTTGTCAGAATCCAGCTAATCCAGGTAACTTTTTATTCTCACACATTCAGGAAAAAACTCCTTAACTATTTTAGAGGTTAAAAAACACTTATGTTATGTATTGGAATAACAGGTGAGTAATTGCACTTCAGCATTTCCCCCGTGTGCATTATTTCTATTCAAGTCTGGCATTAATCTTCCATGGAGCATGGAGCCTCAGTGCCATAGAAATGATGGCATCTGGTGAATGAAACTGAGCTTAATCCTTGTTACTTTTAGGAAATAGCCTTCATTTTAATGATTTGAGAATGTTAAAAAAAATCCCAAAGAACTGTTCAGTTCCATTAGTTTGATAGAATGAAAATTAGTATTTGATGATGAACTTCAACGGAACTCAACTTGGTTGTCTAAGTAGGCTGTGAATTTGTTTTTATTTCAACTTTGATGTATCATTTCCTCATAGTTTTGTTTATTAAGCTTTAGTAACTTCAGATGGCTTCATTCAAAAAGAAGACTTCTTTGAAATGATTTTAATTATGCCTTTTATGTGTTCTGTTTAAAGTAACCTAGCTTGTCCTCCTTTGTGGTGTGGTGTAGTTTATCATAGCTAACACAGCACACTGCATTAAAAGTCATGTCTTGGTAGTTGAGAAATTGTAAATTTCACCTTGCTGTGATACAGTGGTGTAGATTCTTGAAGTATCATAAGAGTTTCAACTCTAGAGCCCATTCATAATATTAACTATCTTGGGAGAATGTTTGGATGGAAATTTTGTAGCTGCAGAATAGTTCCTCAGTTACTTCTGGATCTCAAGATGAGAAGAGCTGTGCAGTTAGAAAATGAGTACATGTTCAAGTATAAATGAACATCTTTTTTTGTTTTTTTTTGTTTTGTTTGTTTTTTTGCGGTACGCGGGCCTCTCACTGTTGTGGCCTCTCCCGTTGCGGAGCACAAGCTCCGGACGCGCAGGCTCAGCGGCCATGGCTCACGGGCCCAGCCGCTCTGCAACATGTGGGATCCTCCCGGACCGGGGCACGAACCCGTGTCCCCTGCATCGGCAGGCGGACTCTCAACCACTGCGCCACCAGGGAAGCCCTAAATGAACATCTTTAATGCATATCGTAGTGGGAGTAGCACAATGCATTAGCATTACAGTATTGCTTATATAGTACTTATATTCTATTTTCCACCAAGTTTTCTGTTTTCCCATTGAACATGTGACTGCTCTTAATTGATTTTATTTGCTTTCTTTTAAACATATTCCCATTTTCAAAAATAGTGTATGGGAATTTTAGAATTTGAGTAACTCACTTGTATGCTTCTACCGCGGGAATGTGTTGATGATACTTCTTTCTTTTCAGTAGGGATATGTCCTCAGCACCAACTACTCCTCCATCAGTGGATAAAGTAGACGGATTTTCTCGGAAGTCCGTCAGAAAAGCCAGACAGAAGAGGTCGCAAAGTTCCTCACAGTTTAGGTCTCAAGGCAAGCCTATTGAGTTAACACCTCTGCCGCTGCTAAAAGGTAAGGCTCATGACCAGGTGATGGATTCCTTTTCAATTGATCTTTTTGTATCTGTATATAATTTTCTTTTTTGTAGAGTTCCATATTTGTTAAAATTCCGTTTTGCAAATTGAAGAGATGGGAGGTTTCCGACATGTTGGAAGTTATTGGTGTGTGATACACCCACTCCCCCTTTTAAAGGGTTCAATTTAATATAAATAGCCATGGACAAATGAAAATAAACTTATTATCAGAGAAGCTCTCACATTGATAAGTAGAAAAACTGAATGCCACAGAAACTTTATGAGGTCTGGGTCTGTGTTTTTCTTATTGTCTTCTGTTGACATTTAGATGTATACATCGTATGCAGTGACAACTACAAATTGTACAGATTTAATCACGGGAGGTAGACCTAGTAGAGGAGATGGTGCCATTAACTTACATATAGAAAATGATGTTTGAAATAATTCATTTTTTAAAATTGAGAAAAAATGGTCAGTAATTGATTACATGCATTTTTGTTTTCAGATAGTACAAATAGAAAAAGTATTTGATGATCGTATTGTTTATGGAATTAATATGAGAACTTTTTTTTCTAAATTAAACCTTTTACCTTTTGTTTGAGTATGTGGGTACTTTTTGTTCCTTTTAATTTTTATCTATTTGCTTTATGTGTATGAACAAGCATTATTTGAAATGTATCTGAACATTGCATTTATAGCATGGAGCTATTAGAATCTACTGTTGAAGGTAGATTTTTGTCTGCTGAACACTTAAGAGTGAGGAGAAAGGGGACGTGAACAATACAATGCACTTTACTGTCTCACGGGAAATAAAAAAACTTGGTTGCTAGTTAGTTAGTGAACATTTATGTCTGTAACAATTTGTGAAATCAGAAGGTATTAAAAGAAAAACTGGAGTGTGACTAGAAAAGATCCTCAAAATGTAGCCTAGGATATTTCAAACTTCTGTTTTTCCCATATGAACATTTTTTTTTAAGGGAGGAAGATTCATAAATGAGATTTCCATGTTTATACTTGAAATTGGTAAACATGAAATGAATACTATTATTGTAAAGATGATATATCTACAGTTAATGAAGATGAGCTTGTATGAGTTTGTGGGGAGAAAATTTTGACTAAAGTTTTTGCGGGTAAAAATGAAAATAGTCTTTATGAGGCTTCGGAAAAAAAATGAAGGAAAAACTCGCTAGGCATAAAAGTAACTGTACTTGAAATACAAAGTTGGGAGGTATATTGGACTCTTTAGTAGTTTATTTAATCTGAAATAGACATGTAATAGCTATTAGCGTCTATATCTGGCAACGGACTTTATTCTGAGGAAGCAGTTTAAACTTTCTTAGGGTTAGAACAAATTTAAACTTTGTTATATTAATTTCTTGGGTCCCATGGTAAACATTTAAATTAGAACTTAACTGACCACTCAGAGCCATGGTGTTGGTTTTGTGGGTAGTGAAAGAAGCATGCGTGAGAAGAATTTGGCACATGTTTTAATATTTTGCTGTTTCTTATCTCATTTAAAAAAAATTGTAATATATATATAACATAAAATTGACCATTTTACCTATTTTTAAGTGTGCATTAAGCATGGCATTAGGTACATTCACATTGTTGTATGTCTGTTACCACCACTCATCTCCAGGACTTTTCATCTTTCCCAGCTGAAACTCTGTATCCATTAAAGACTAACTCCCCATTACCCCTCCCCCTAACCTGTTTGCAACCACTACTGTCTCTGTGAATTTGACTACTCTAGGTATCTCCTGTAGGGGGAATCCTACAATGTTTGTCTCTTTTGTGGTTGGCTTATTTCACTTAGCATAATGTCCTCAAGATTCATCCATGTTGTAGCATGTGTCAGAATTTCTTTCCTTTTTAAGGCTGAATAATATTCCATCGTGTGTGCCTGTGTGTGTATGTATATATATGCCACGTATTGTTTATCCATCTGTCAATGGATACATGAGTTCCTTCCACCTTTCAGTGATTGTGAATAATGCTGCTATGAGAACATGGGTGTACAAATATCGTTTTGAGTCCCTGCTTTCACTTGGGTATATACCCAGAAGAATTGCTGGAGCATATTTTTTGAGGAATTGCCATACTGTTTTCCACAGCAGCTGTACCATTTTACATCCCTACCAGCAATGCCCAAGGCTTCTTCCAATTTCTCCACATTCTCACAGACACTTGTTATTTTCTTTTCCTTTTTTTTTCTTTTTGATAATAGCCATCATAATGTGTATGAAGTAGTATTTCATTTTGATTTTTATTTGCATTTCCCTAGTGATTAGTGACATTGAATATCTTTTCATGTGCTTTTTGGCCATTTGTATATCCTTTTCTCATATTTTAAGTGGAGTCTGATAGTATTGTAAAATTTCCAAGAATTCTGCTCTCCAAGAATATGATTTTTGTGAACTTGTATGTTTTGCCAGCATAGATGCATTGGAGAGCAACAAGATCATACAATACTAGATACATCCACAAGCTTAAATTCCAGACAGACTAAAAGTGATTCCTGTGTAATAAGCACGTTCTGGGAAAATATTCCGGGAAGCATCCCATAAATTAGATTTCCATATCTGTAGAATAACAGAGAAGTACAATCATGTATAGACTTTAGAAATGTGTATTTGTTCTTGATTATTATAGTGAATGTAAAGAGTTTGTTGAATGACATTTGTTTTCCTTCAATGGATTGACTTTTATTTGTGTACCTTCTCACAACTTTAGGAGGTGGTTTATGAAATATAAGGAAAACATAAAAGGAATTTTTTTTTTTACCATTTCCTTAGGAAAAACCAGAATAAATTATATATGCATGCCAAAGGGTAGTTATTGATTTAATTTTCTATAGAATTGTTTTGACTGAATTGGAAGGTTTAAGATAATTTTATTTGGGGGTGCAATATAAACTGTAGTTGAATTTTGGGGGTTGCTTTAAAGAGTAAAGAAAAAACATGTCCTTAAGGTCTTTAATTTTAGGGGAGTTTGAAAACGGAAATTGTGTAAACATAGTAATTATGTAGCTCATCTTTTTAATATGTAATTTTTGAAAGCTCAAAAATTAGGTATTCATTAATGATCACTTGTTTTGTGTATTTGCCTTATAAGAATGCTTATTATATGCATGGTAATATTTGACTGACTTATAAGTAACACTGTCATTATTTCTTAGCATTTTAAAAGTCTCTTCACTTGCAGAACTGTAACAAAGTGAAAGAAAGTTTCATCTCCTTTGCTCTTTTCCTAATAGGTGGGTTTTTGAAATTTGTATCAATGATGTTATTTTTCTGTAGACAGCAACACTAGCATGTAGTTTTGTGTAAATATATCAGAGTAACCTGGCTTTTCCTGCAATTGTGAAATTGCAGGATAGACCTTGACATGTAGACATTTGAGTTTTCTCCATAAAGTACTTCTGAAAATATTTTCAGAAGGTCCTTAAGTTTTTGAGCTTGAAGGACTTTTACTCATTTTCCTGATAAGGGAAATTCAGTAGAGGTTGACTGCCTTATGTGCTTGATAAGAAAGTAAAGACTTGGATGCTTTCTGGGTGCCTGCACAGCAGGACATAAAGTAAGCTTGGACAGTTACCTAGGTAAGTCGCTGAATAAGGACAAAATAAACACTTAGGCAAATAGATACACACACATTAGTAACAATAGCAATAATAATAATAACTACTAGGGGTAGTTGTATCTGGTTAGGTGGTTTATGTTTTCTACCCACGCCGTATTTCCTTCTCGTTTTAACTTTAAACGATTATATAAGTTTAGATTTGAGTGAGATGTTTTTGAAAGCTACCACCTCTTTGAAAATGGGATTATAATGAAAGGGGCATCATTGTTGCTAGCCTCACAATTCATCATATGTTTCTAAAGCATTTTGCTCATAGTTTGGACAGTCAGTATCAAACATTCCAAAAACTGTGATGGCTGGAGGTGCTGTTCAGCAGAAGGAAACTCTTTGCCCCTTGGTGTTGAAACCTTTAGATTGGTAACGTATTTCTGTAACACTAATTCTCTGATGTTTTTTTAACTCTACGCTTATGATTCAGCTTATATTTTTATTTTATAGGGTGACAATTTGTAAGGACTTGAAAAATTCCAAGTTAACACTAGTTTGTGTGCTTTTAAAATTATTGAATGGGATAATTCGTCTTTTTCATCTTTATCTGCTTTGTGTAGTGTAAAGGAGCATACAGATAGAATTCCCAGTTTTATAATGGACTAGTGCTCTAAACTGTATTTATAATGCGAATGATCTCCTAAGAAATAATGTCCTCGATTTTGGTGTTCACTGTCTTCCTTATAGGTTATGCCGCGGTGTCGCATGGGAGGAAGTACACGGGCTTTGTTGCCTGCAAGAGTCCTGGCTAGCTCACTAGCTGTGTTGCCTGGGGCAAGCGAGTTAGCTTTGGAAAGCTTGGTTTTCTTGTCTGTCAAATAGGGATGATAATAAAAATCAAGAGACGCGGCAGTACCACATTCAATATATTACTAACTGCTGTCATTTAACTGGGATTTCAGAAGTTACAATATGAATAATTATTATTTGACTTTTTGTATTTTCCTAGCAAAAAAGTTGAAACTGGAGATTTCTCTGAAAATTATGATACAAGAGCATAGTTTTGAGGTCATGAACCTTTTTCAACCCCCAAATACAAAGAAATGGTGTGCAAATGTGTTGAATTTAGTAGACTGGTTATTTTAAGCATCTTTACATGGCGGTTTTTCACCTTCTGCATTGGTATCCTGCCACATTTTTTAACGTAGTGCTTTTTGACTTATTCGTTTTTTGAATAGATAATACAGTTATATGGTTCAAATTCCGAAAGATACAAAAGGATGTATAATGAAAAATCTTCCTCCCAAGTCGGTTTTCCTAATTAACTCCCCTTCCCAGAAACAGCCAGTCATAATATGCTTGTATTGTAGGTATAGGCATTCTTAAACCCTTGAATGAATTTGAAATGCATTGAGCAGGCTGAAATTA